CAAATCAACAAACTGATCTTTATAAACACACAAAAACTGAAAAGAACATAAAGAGGGGGCTCCGCTGAGACCTCCCTTCTACATCGTCGAACGCTGCCAGGCTCGTGCTGTTCTGTTCGAGCTCGGAGCTCGGTCCCGTCGGTGCTGCTCGTGCCGCGCGCTTGAAACGTCATTAGCTGCTGACGTTGCGTGAGCCACCGCTCTAAGTCTCGCGCTTTGGCGCCGCCGCCGTAAGTCTCGTGCTTTGGTGCTACAAGGGCTCCCCCCTTCCCCCCCCCCCCCCCCCCCCCTAGAGGAGTCGCTGGGGCGATGTTGTGCCCAAGAGACGGAGCGATGATGCTGATGCTCGGTGGCTCGTAAGGATGAGCTGATGAATGGCATGAAGGCGGTCGATGTAGAGGCTGTGGGCTGGATGCTATGCCTTGGACAGCTAGGTGAGTCGTGGCATCTACAAGGCGTAACCGTTGCATGTCCACTAGCAGGTTATAGTTGTGGAGAAAATCCGCTCCAAGGATCGGGTCTGTCACGTCGGCAACCAGGAAAATCCATCTTAATGGTCTTCTCAATCCGATGTTGAGGGTGAGAGCTAGTTCACCATACGTCGCAATGGCGGACTTGTTTCCGGCCTTCAAGGTGACGTTAGCGCGTTGCGGCTTGGTTGACATGGCCGTCACGGGTAGGACGCTTACTGCGGTGCCGGTGTCGACTAAGAACCGAAGACCAGTATTCATGTCTAGTATAAAAAAGAGACGGCTGGTTTCGGAACCGGCACCACTCGCCGCCTCTAGTGGTGGGTCTGGGCGTTTTCTGAGGCCGTGCATGGTGAAACGCACTTCTTGGCTTGCGCGCCGAAAGTGCGATGTTACCAGCACGTACCTTGGGAGGGTGATGGAGAACGATGCCGACGTTGTTGAGAAGTCGATCTGTGACGTCGGTGTGTTGGAATGCGGTTGGTGAGGGCAGCGATCTGAGCAGACAGGTGTCCAATCTCAAGATGAAACTCCTCCCTGAGGCCGCTGACGTCGGCTGTGGCAGTCGTCACGCCAGCAGGTGATGTCGTGGACGGTAGTGGTCCGGTCTGTTTTTGGACCTGTGCAATGGTGGGCACAGCGACTTCTATGACGGAGTCTGCGAGTTTTGCCAGTTCTTCGAGGTCAAGTCCAGACGCACACGTCAGGACCATGCGGACGTTAGTTGGCAGCCTCTGAAGGAAAAGCTCCCGAAGCAACGCGACGTCGAAGGTAGGCGCCTTCTCACCCAGAAGTTGTTGTAGGCGCCGCAGCAGCTGTGAAGGCTTGCGGTCGCCCAATTTCTCTGAAGTGAGGAGCTGTTGGAGTCGGCGCTGTTCCGACGACGTGGTCCTCTGTATCAGCTCCGCCTTGAGGGTGTCGTAAGGGGAGCCTGCCGGCGGTGTCAGGGCCAGATCCCGAATTTCCGCTGTGATGTTCGGCGGAAGCGTTGCAATAACATGGTGGAACTTCTGGGTTTGTGATGTTATCCGGGCCGAGGCGAACTGGCTCCACCTGGGCGAACCAGATCTGAGGGTCCGCTGGCCAGAACTGAGGCAGTCGAAGGTGTAAAGCTGAAAGTCCACCAGTGGCGGGTTCACCAGACTGCGCCTTGACGACTGGAAGCGGTTGATGAGCTTGGTGCAGCAGGGAAAAGGCTTCAGATGTGCGGCGTTCCTCGGGAATAGTCTCCTTGGTATAGTACTTTCCTCTTTGCAATTAAATTTTACAAACTTCCACATCTCGTTTGGACTACGTCTAAGCTTTTCACCCAGGGAGGAATAAAAGTGATCCTTGGCACTTTTTATTTTCAGCTTAATTTCCTTCCCCAGAATATCTAGCCTGTTAAATATTTCATCCGTCTTCTTGCTTAGGTACCTCCGAAAGAGGCGACATCTTCGATTCAGTAAGCGCTTGATCTCGTTGGTAAACCACGCCTTCCTGTCTTTTTTAGCCGAAACGATTTCTGACGGTATGTGGCAATCCATAAGCGACAGTAAGTTGTTTTAAATAGGTTAAAAAAGACCTTCAACACTGGACGTGGCACTGATCGCCACAAACTCCTCAAAATGTATCTTCCAGATTATGCGTAATCAAGCCTTAATTACCTTTATCGAAAATGTACACCTTTCGAGTAGGAGAAAACGCAACCATTGGTCGTCCAAAAGAAACGTTAGTTAGGATACCGTCATGGTCACTTATACCTGGAATCGGTAAGACTGAAACGCGAAGATAATTAGTCACGTCCTGTATTTATGAAACTTTTTGTCAGCTTATGGAAACACGAAGGTATACATATCAAGACACTATACCTGCATCAGGAGGGTAAAATGGGCGTGATGGCAGCAGACGTCCACTTCGGAGAACGGATTGTCATATGGGGAATTGTAGTAGACCGTTTCCTCAGCCCGCTAAGCACCCGGATAGCGCTCCGTAATCCGCCACAATTCCTTGAACTATGCAGACAAAGCTGGCGGCGCGCATGCGCAGCTGCGGCGTTTTCTTCACAGATACCGTAGCGGAGGAGAAAAACGGTCTACTACAATTCCCCATAGACGGACGGACCTCGCGAAGTCGATAAAACCTTACGGCAGGTCGTATCTCCGGTGTCCTTGACGTTGGCAACGTGAGACTTTCGGTGCTGGGAAGCCTACACTCCGTTTCACTCGAAGTTCGACCGTAGACGACACTAAAACCCGTTGCAGCGAATCAGGCAAAAAAAGTACATCGTCTCCTTCTTGGATGCGAACGCAAAAAGAGACAAGGGACACATAAAAACATGTCGGACACGGACAGCGTCATGTCTCCTTTTGCGTTCGCATACCAAGATGTTTAGCCAACACGCTCTCCTAATTCTATCTATCTAGGTACATCGTCTCGGCGCTTGTCGCCTTTGTGCGTTTTGTCCCATCGACTAAGCTGATCGCGCACAGTGAGGGGGACACGATCCTGCACGCTATCTGTTCATGGTTGGTTTAGCAGGTGATACTAAACTCACAAAGACGACGAGCGGCGCGAAGGTGCACTTTTGGCCGTGCTCGATTGGCTCTTTCGTATCCGTAGCGTCGGCTGCGGTGTCTTTCAAACTGAAACGGAGTACACCTGTCATCGGGTCCATTAAAGTCTTGTATTTTAACATGGTTCCCTAGCGCCCATCGGAGTCATTGAACCAGCTGTAAGAGCCATTATTCCTCATTGAGTGAGGCAACGTTTTTCTCGTGTCACCGAGTCCCTATATCTGGGGACCCTATCTCTGGGCACCCCCTTGTGCCCTTTCAGTATGGGAACGCTATGTTTATAACCGTGACAATTGCAATTCAGTGGACACCTAGCTATAGGGCCCTAAACTCGTCAAACACGAAGTTGTAGCCGAAAATTCGCTTAGCTAGTTCGAAATTGAGCGTCACGTTTTATAACATCCAGTTATTCTAATAATATACTTGTTTCTACTCTAAAAAAAAAGTCAGTGTTCTCTCCCCCTACTCAAAAACCGCCGCAAAATTGCTCTTTTGTGCCTCATCCATAAGCTCTACTATCACGATACTAATATAACTTTTCTTGAACCTCCTAACAGATCTTCCCACTGAACCACTAACAGCGAACGTTTGAAGCACCTAACCGGTAAAACTAATGCGTTTATTAACTCCGCTGTCGCGCGAGGCATCCGCGATTGGAACGACCTTCCCAACACTATATTCGACATTAGTGACACTGGCCTTTTCCATGAGGCAGTTTGCACATTGTTTTCTTGTAGTTGGCTACTTTTATTTTTTTACCGGGTGCTTACCTAGACGACATGTTGGTGATTTTTTACCTCATTTTTCTTCTGTCTGGATTTTATCTTCTATTTTTCATAGAGTGTACAAATGTATAATTGATTTTTTTTTTTCGTTTCGTGCAGTGTTCTGTATTTTAGATTTTATATTCCTTGGCCCCCCTTATGTAATGCCCATGGGTCTTTAAGGATTGGACGTCGGCAAAAGAAGCTCGCAGTAATCGTCGTAACAGGCCAATCAGCGCGCCCCGTTAACTTCGGCCCCAAATTTGCGCATGACAAGTTTAGAGGCCCTAAAGTTTCTAGAAAAAGTGAGGTTCTTTGCACATATTTCCGCTTCTTTGAGCTAACGTTTCTGATAAGACGTGGCTCATGTGAGTCGTTGGCGCTGAAACTAGGCTGTGGTCCCATTTTGTTACTTTTGGTGGAGGGTCAAAAGTTCGGAATTAGCACCGGTGATAGGGTACATTACACAGCAGGTAAAAGTATCTATAATGTTAATCTTTATTCTGAGCTAAGCCTAAAAAGTGATAAAGAGCGCGACACTGTTAGCGCAAACAAGCGATCGCCTGTTTTTCCAGTTTTTCTCTTTGAAACCGAAAGGTGTCATCCAAGTTATTATTGCTACGTAAAAAGCTTATTTAGTTCTATGATGTAAGCGATTAAATTTCGTGCTCGCTAATACTATTCAGAAGTACAATGCGAAAATGTGCCGATGTCGTGTTCGCGCTTACAGTGTCGCGATGTGTACATGTTCATGGGAATAGAAACAGACGTACAAAGCAACAACAACAACAAAACAATATACGAGCAAAGTTACAATCATGCACACACGTGGTTAAATTGCACGTTGAAATGTTTTCACGTCACAAAAGACATTACAGAATAACCTAGTTTGTTTAATTGAGTTCTCGTAATTGGTGACGTATGGTACAAAATTAACACATAATTATATGGGGCATTAGTTCACATGAACTGAAAACATTATAACGAAAAAAATACAAGAATGTTTCTTGTGCTCTGTCGATGCTAGCTATATGATTTATTACTGTTCACTGCTTCGGATTCAAATATTGGCCACATCCAGCGCAGAACAATAAAATCACATGAAAAACTGACTTAAATTAAAGAATACATCCGATATAAAGAAGCAGGGTTATTCTGAGTTCTCTACGCAGAACTAATACCACAACTTATTGCCTTGCAGGTGGCAGAAGTCAATTTGTCATACAGCCACTTTCTTCCCCCTTACAGCTCACTACCTTGTACAGATCATTCCTTTTCTGTTTGGTCACAGGAATCTCGTCCCTGACCGAATCCAGATAACCCAGATCCACCTCAGCAACCACGAGCTCTTCTCCGGCCCCGGCCGACTGAACAACCTTGCCAGACGGATCCACAAACATGCTGTAACCCCAAGTGACGTAGCAAGCCGCTTCATCCCTGGCCAGCGACGTGGACGCCACGTACACCTGATTATCAACCGCCCTAGCCCTTTGAAGCAGTTTCCAGTGCAGCGGACCCGTGGCCAAGTTAAACGAGCCCGGGTACACCAGCAGCTTGCAACCGAACTTGGCATATATCTCGGCCTGGGGCGCAAACCTGAGGTCGTAGCAGATTCCGATGCCAACCTTGCAGAAGGGTGTGTCGAAGGTGGTCAGTCTGTCGCCCGCCGCGTAGTAGTCCGACTCGCGGACGGTCATCTTGCCTGGGATGTCGACGTCGAATTGATGCACCTTGCGGTACTTGGCCAGCAGCGCGCCGTCCGGTCCGTACACCAGGCAGGTGTTGTAGAGCGTGCCGTTGTCGCTCTCCGACACTGTGCCGCCGACAAGGTAGACCCGGTGTTCTTCGGCGCACCTCGATAACATCTCGCTGGACCTCCCGGGGATAGGCTCGGCGTACTTTGGGAAGTGCTTCACGCTGAATGGAAAATTGAAAAATTCAGGAAGGCACAATATCTGGGCTCCAGCGGTAGCCGCCTCTCTTATTAGCTTACTCGCTCTTTCGAGGTTCTTCGTCTTGTTCGTTGTCACGGCGAGCTGAAGCAGGGCCAGGCGGAACTTGCTGGCAGACATGGTTATTGATGTCGAGAGGACGAATGCTAGGTTTTGGGGTTCGCGGGGAGGAACAGCACCAGGACAGAACAGTGTCTGATAGAACAACACCGGTATAGAGCAGTCCAGGATACAACAAGACCGTGATAGAACGTACAGTCCGGGATGGAGCAACACCAATCTAGTTGTAGATCTCAATCGGGGTCCGGCAGGTCCAAATGCAAGCCAAGGGTCGAAATGCAAGCCAAGTCATTCGGCAGTGAGAGTCTGTGTGCCACCGACGGCGGTGCAGCGACCGGTATTGCGTCCGATCTGCGCAGGAAGCAAAAATAAGAGCACGAATGTTCTTTCGCAACGTAGTCGTTCTACAAGATGAAGGATGTATAATAAAACGCTGTCGGAATGCCGTCATGCAAGATCCAATTTTTGCGGTACGTTTTTCTTGATCTGTCTTAGATTAAACGTCAGGAACACATGGAAATTAGCTTAGATAGAAAAAAAGCAAGAATCTCGTCTGTACGAAGAAAGGTATAAAAATGAAAAACGTTAACAAATCTCTGCAACGCGAAACTAGAGAGCAGCTCTTCAGGAGGAGGACGGGAGGGTACGGAGGGGAGGGTATGCCCCTCCTCCTCCTCCTCCGTACCCTCCACTTCTTCTCCACTTCCTGCTCTCCTCCTTTCCTCCTCATCCTCCTCCTTCCATCCTCTTTTGCTCCTCCTCTCCTACTGCCGCTAAATTCAGCGGGGAAATTTTGCCACTAAATTTGGGGGGTTAACTTTCCCCGCTAACTTTAGTGGGGCATTTGACGTCACGTGACCTCCACCGGTTGAGTTTATTCGGTAAATTTAGCGAAGCGGTGGCGCCGACTGTCAAGTGAGAGCTTGGCAGGGATACCCAAGCCTCATGGAACTTAAAAGAGACGCTAAGCGGAGCGCAACTTCGTCTGCTTCTTGCTCCGGGGTTGCGTTGACCTCAAAACGCAGAGTTCTGATTGGCTCGATTGAAAGGGCAGTGAGTACACTTCAAGGCAGCTAACATTGAGGCCTACCTACTATCCTTCCAATTAGAGCCAATCAGAACTCGACGTTCTGACGTCATTGCCTCCTCTGCGCAAGGAGCAGACGAACTTGCGCTCCGCATAGACACGAGGAAAGGCCACCTAGAAGACAGGGCCTGCTTGTGACGTCATCGTGAATGGATACCCGACCCGCCCCCAAGCAGCAAACACCCAGAAGCGCGACGAATGTCGTCGCAGAGTGGCAGACGCGTCGCACTTGTTATGAGACGCTACGAGACCCTCTGGCGGCGACGCCGGAGTGAGGTAGGCGGCTCTGCGTGGATCCACTATTGATGACGTATTGGAGCAGGGGGAAGGGGGGGGGGGGGGGGGAGGGGGAGTCAAAAGAGCAGGACTTGTCTTCTATATGTAATGTTTCATGAGGCGACATGAGGCTAAGCAAGGGTACGCGCAGTTCGGGCTGTGCCACAACGCTCTCCAGAACCCGCTAGGAGACTCGGAACCCTCCAGGCAAGGCTAGTGGCGCGCATGCGCAGAGGTGGCGGTAGTGACTAGTTCGCCAAACCGCGCCGAACAGGAAATTCGAAGCCCCCACGTAATTGTAGAGCGCATAGGGCCACTTTCTGAAGAGCTCCAAGAATAGACCGTTTTCAAAAGTCTATCGAGCAAAATTGGCGGACATTATTCCTTGGAAACGAAGCGCGTGATTGGGTTCTCGCTGAACGCTGCCACGCAATTCGTTTTTGATACGAGATGGACCGAGTTCACGCCGAATGCTGACGTAACGCTCGCGTTCAATACATCCTCAGAGTACGAGCTCAACCAATGGCGGACTCGAATAATTGACGCAGCAACTATCTAAATGGCCCGCACCTGTCATCCACTCTGACTAATGTTGTTCAAATGTAGATTTTGTGCTTCATTCGATAACCTAACCAGGAAACCACATATTGTAAAAAATATAATGGTTTACTTCCCCGTTGCTTTTTCTCAGACCAGATATGTCGGTAACTCAACAACCCTACTCATTTCACTTTAGTATAACTGCTTCTTTGGGTAATTTAATAACTTTAAATTACAGTTGAGTTTGATAATGACGGTAGATAACTTTAAAAAGGTTGGTTTTTTTCCGAATAACTTCTCCACAAATTAGTAATTTCTTCTGACATGGAGTGCTAAGTGTTCTCATTAACTGGCAAACAAAACAAAAGAAAACTAAGGTGTTGGGAGGTAAGCCGATACTCACAAAGACAGAAAAGACCCCCAGCGAAGACAATCACAGTAGAAAGCTATCTTTCAGGGCCTTGTTACCTTCTCCGTTCCTGTCTTGTTGCGACCGGAACTTTCAAGCAACTGCAGTCTGAACCGGACACCAAACGCGAAGGTGTGCCTTCGCGTTTTTTTTTGGTGTTTTTTTTTTCTTTTTTTTAAGTGGGGTGGAGTAAAAGCGGGATCAGCCAGTACCATGAAAAAGAAAAAGTCTGCTCTCACCCCCTCCCCCTACACTTTACCAACGCCTCAAATTGCAAAAAAAGAGTTTTTTTTTTTTTGTAGAATTACGTTTTGTTGAGGAACCCGGTTCGAACCTGATGCCAAATTTTAAGAACTAACCATTATCTCGTTCAAGAGAATTCTAAAGAAATTCGTTGGAAAATGGGGCTCGTTTTCGGCGACCGTTCAACACCGTACACGTGTTCGAAGTGCTTCGTCGGCAAGCAAAGGTTGGCTCTGATTTTTCGCCATCTGGTTCAAACAGAGAATGAGAGCTCGGCAGTGAAAAATTCACTTAAAAAAAAAGAAGCAAAATCTTTTTTTTAAATTATTTTTACAGTCTCACGCGACTAGAGGAAGCAACAAAATGCACCCACATGATTGCGAACCTGAGAATGTGGTAGAAAAAGGAAGACGCGAAGAAAGACAGAAAAAGGACGGCCTACTCCGATCCTCGAGGAGTGGTCCTCGAATCAGATGATGTTGGTACTTCGATGGCACAATCGCGCTACCTTAGTTTGTGGATGATCGATGTGACACTTTATAGACGCTCGATTAGACTTTCCTATCGTGTGAGGATAACGTATGACTCTGACTTCGGGCACCTGTCTAAAAAAGAAAAACAAGAATTGCGCGTTGCAGGTCTAACCTCGCACACTGCTGCTGTTCCGCGGCGCTCATCCAGGTGGCAGTCATTGTGACGACTCCACCAGCACGCCCCCAATTAAAGTCGCGAACAAAGCGAATGACGTCTTTATCTTTGTTTTATGCTCTACTTAAAGATTCGCGTTCTGTTTTCTCTTTCCTTTCTTTCTCGTTTTGTTTTCGCGATTGAGTTTGAGGTTTTAGGTCTTCCTCTGGGGAAAAAAAAGGCAAGAAAGGGAAGACCGGGACTTCTTTCAGGCCGGGATCCACACTGCTCATTCATCGTACAAAAGACAGTCTGCTGACGGTAGGAAGTTTTAGGGAACCGTCTTTGGACGTCCGATACGGTCCGATATGGCGCGTGCGCAGTTCGTACCGGAGGGCCCATCGTCTATCATATCGGATACGCAAAAAAACAGTTCCCTAAAACTCCCTACTGTCTAAGGCTTGTTTTCTCCTTGTCCGATGGTCACATAGGCCGCACAAACACTTCTTGCAGACATGTTTGAAGTGTGCGCATGTATGAAGCAATCGTGCTTATAAACATGATTGAGACGCGGTCGCAGATAATTTTTAAAAAAAAAAAAGAAGGAAACTTGAAGGAAAAAAGCCGGTACACGCGTGGTGAGGATCTCTTTGTGATGCCCCTTGCTTGCGTAGCTAAGGTTAAGACTGTCTTCCGGGATTCGAAAATCGTTTAACATATACCTTTATTTTTTTGTTTTTGTTTGTATAATTTACCAACAACGACGAAACAAGGAGCTGCAGTGTCCGCCGCAAAATAAACTCAAAACAAATAGATCGTGTCCAGCGTCCCGCACTGCACTCCGCACCCCGCTACAAAATCCGGAACTCTGCAGGCAAGGCTAGAGTAAAGGAGGGGAGAAAAACGGTCTACAAAAATTTCCCAATGTAGAAAGGTACGTTCAGGTAGGGAGCCTTCAATGAAGGCACCCTACGTTCAGAGAAGCCTCACTGTGCGTCATCTATCGAGAAAAAGAGGGGGGGGGGGGGGGGGGGGGGTAGAGAGAAGAAAGCACAGAGACTCGCAGAACGCAACCTTCAGAGTAGGACTAGTCGAGCTAATAAAACACAAAGCACGAGAGTCAAACCGGCCAAAAAGTAGGGGAAAGGAAACAAGCGACGTTCCCGGCGAAAGGCGAGCGCCCGAAACATCGCTTGTTTCTTTTCCTCTACTTTTTGCATGTCTTATGTCTCGTGCTTTTAGTTTTGTGCCCATTTTCACGAGCCAGCAGCACCCCACCCATGGATCCGCTAAGCAAATAAAACAGTTTGGTGAAAGTACAAACACGAAAGGGAGTGTTTTTCCATTAGGCACACGGGATTTCGTAATCTGTCGTTTTCTTTCTACCATAAGTAAGAGACAAAAAGGAACTTCAAAGGCAGCTATCAACACTGTTATTTTTCTTTTTTACAGTAGTTAGTCTGCTTAACTGCTCTGCAAGTGTTTAATTTTCATTAAACTCGCAATACGTTTGACTACGGTACTCAGTAACTTAGCTCCACTATATTTCGGTATGCACTGACATATTAAGAAACGCAGGGCGTAGCGATTGCTTGGCATCGTGTTATCGCTCTTCAGCAATTGAGATTACGACATTATACGATAAGAAGGTTGAATGAAGAGCGAATCCCGAAGCAATGAGCGTGTACATGATAAGCCAGGCTCTGCATTTTTTAAGTTGTCATTAACTATATTAAAATGTACACCTCTGCTTCAAATAAAGTCAAAAGCTGCGTTTCAAGAAGCAGAGAATGTATCCCCCCCCCCCCCCCCCCAAAAAAAAAAAAATAAAACGCAGCGACAGGGTGCTCAAAAGTAGAACTTACGTGTCAATAGCAGGGTGGAAATTCTGCGTCACTTATTTTGCGCAGTTTGATAGAGAATC